GAGTCCCTTCTGGCCAACCGATATGAGTACGCCCTGCTCCGCCCGTGTAGTCCTCCCCCGTGATCTGATGATCCTGGCCTCCATATGCGCAGTGCCAAATCTCATCCGCTGCTGGTGGAGGTACCACTGGTAGTTGATCTCGGTCCAACAGGGCTCGTGTAAACAGCATGTCATTGTCTGGGGCGCGCCTTGCTGCATCAATGATTTCCTGATCCACTGCCAAAGCGCGCTCCTCCGCCAGGTTGGGGCAGCACCAAAGTCTGTGATGGAGCGCGCCCTTGCAGTCCTGGCAATACATGCATTCGTCCGTGGTCGAGAAGCCGTGCTTGTGTAGCCTTGCCTGCGACCACTGGCCCTCAATGTTGGTGCTGCGAAGCGCAGCTCGGGCACGCGCTGGAGAGCCTCCACTTACGAGCCTGATCTCTTGTCGTAAGCAGAAGTTGGAGTGGGACCAGCCAATATCCACATGCCTTCCGCGTTGGAGCTGTCGACTCTGGGGGGTGGTCCTTGCCCGTGGCCCAGTGCTCCCACTTGCGGCTGACGAACGACTTCCTCGCTAGCGTGCGGACCCAGCCAGGTGGGTCGACTCTGGGATCAAGTTCCACTCCTTGAGGCGTGGTCCATTGAAACGCTGTCTGAGCTCGCCAACTGAGTTGATGCAGCACGTTCCATACCGCTCCTGCAGGCCCAGCATCATCGGACCAGGCACCATGCGACTTCTCTGATTCTGAAACGCTTGCTCCGCTATGCCCCATGGGAGGGCGCGATCCGAGGCCACCTGCGCCCATGTATAGAGTGGTTCAGCTGCTGCAGAAATCTCTGGGTGCTGGTCTCGGCACTGCTCCAACTGCGAGGCTAGCCATGTCGAGGTCCCCGTCGGAGTGCGATGCCACCCTACTTTCGCCATCTTTGTCATGGAGCGGATGATGGGGCGAGACGCACCGATCACCTGGACCCCGTAGAGCATGGCTGGCCCGATCGAAGGCTGTGCGACAGCTCTTCCGATCTTCGCCATGGCCGCGGGTCGCTTGAACCTTGGAAGGCGTCTTTTGGGCTTGACCGTGCGATGCCGAATCGCAGTGTAGCGCACCTTGAGCCCATCTCTGGCCTCCATTCCCAGGATCTCAATGACCGACGCTGCCCGAAATCCATGGCGCTTGACTCGATCAGCGACCTGTCGTGCCACCCCTGGAGCCGATGACATGATCTTCGCCTTTTCCGTGGCCATGGGCAGGTCCAAGGCGCGCAAGATGACGGCGAGGCGCTGGATGATGCGAGCCGACTCCTCAACAATGTGCTGGCGCGGGGCCACCACCTGCAGCGTGATGTCGTCGGCGTAAATGTCCAGCGCGTGGCCCACCTCCGCCGCGGCGAAAGACTTTTCGAAAACACCGGATGGCAGCATCATGACCAGCTGTAAGAGGAACATGGCCACCGATCAGCCTGGGAGCGCTCCCCTCTGCACCTGGACCGCGCATGAGTAGGGCGATCCCCATCTGATGCGCCGACGGGCGTAGTACATTGTGAGGCAGAGTTTGAGCAGGGCCGTGGGGAAATCGAGCTTCGGTGCCGCTTGCAAGACTCGACGCCATCATACTCTGTCAAAACACTTGCTGATGTCGATCAGGGTAGTGAGCACTGCTTTCGAAAGACTGCCTTGATGAGCCTCGGAATATATCATAGTTCTTGCTCCGACGTCCAAAGTTGTGGCTCGACGGACCTTGGAGCAATGTAGTCTGCGCATTAGCTCGAAGGAAAATTCCAACTCCTGCGCTCGGGAATCCGGTGCTCGACCTTCGGCATGGCGTGATGTAGGGAGTCCAGCCGTGGTAGATTGCCCAGCATCGAGCTCGCTCCAGCTGTTCTCCATCCAGTCGTAGCTCTTGAGCTGCCACTATCTTGGCTTCCCCTGCACCTTCACTCAAAAACGCTTGGCACGAAGTCCTGCATGACCCATTGAAGGTAACACAACCAGTTGTCTGGCGGCGTGGGCCTCTCTTGCCACGTACTCTACATCGCCCCTGCCAACTCCCACGCCTGTGCGTCTGGTCCTGTGAGAGGTCGAAAGGGAGCGGCCTGCCCTGGCGGTGTGGCGGGTGCTGGGGCAGCTGGAGCTGACGCTTGAGCAGGTCCTAAGCTGCGCGCCAAGGCGTCCATGCAGTCGGGGGCGACCGACTGGCGATCACCTCCCTCTTGTACTGCTCGCTGAGCCCTGGCGAACATCTGCTGCAGGTGGAACACGGTGGCGTCTGTCGACTGGGCCCCACGCGCCTCCGCGGCGGCGGCTGCCACTGCAGTCTGGGCCTGGCAGACCTCCGCCTTGATGGCTGCAGCCTCGCTCTCCAGGGTGGCAAGGCGCTTCTTGCCGTCGCTGAGCTTGGCCTCCAAGTCATTGACGAGATGCTCCTGCTGGTCGCGCTCTGCCTCCTTCGCCGCGTAGCGACCCTTGGCGCTGCGGAGAAGGTCGTCGGGGGGCATGCTGGCCCGCGCCTTAGCTTCA